TAATAAAAACAGCTCTAAACAGGTACACAAGAGCACAGAAAAAAAGGAGATGAGTTTCAAAAGGAATACCAAATGAACATTTAACACAGGGACCTTTCATTCAGCTGGAAAATGCTATCAGTAAAAAGGTCTTCAATGGGTTATGCAAAGTTCAAGTAATGAGCGCCTGGAATACTGATCTACAAGACAAGGGCAGCCCATCATTTTGGCAGTGAAAGGCAGACCTGAAAACTAAACAGATTCAACACACACCTTGAGCATTCCAGATTCACACTCCCTCCCTGTTTATCTTTTTTTTTAAATATTTTTTATTGCGTTTCTTTCCATAGGTTCACAAATTCAGAAGCATACAAGAGTTAAAAACAAGAAACAGATTATAAAGATAAAGGAAAATAAAAAAGAGTATATACGTGTCAGATCGTCTTTCCATAATTTATCACTGCCAATTGGACCTCCTCACATCTTCCAGGCCCTGCGTTCTTTGCAATATCAATGTCAGCAATTTGTTACCTTATTTCGCAACTTACTGTAACTTTCAATTATTATGTTTCCAAATTCAAAAGGTTGTAATTCAATTTTAGTACCTTTTAAAATAAACATAATATATTTGTTTCAAATTGTCTCCTCTTTTTTTTTTGTTATAACTTACTTTACCATTTACCTAATCAAATTGCTAAAGCATAACATTTCCTAATCGTGCACAGTCTTAACATTCAAACAACTTATGATATTTTTGCAGATAGTCTTTAAATTTTTTCCAGTCCTCCTCTATTGTTTCCTCGCTCAGATCTCGGATTCTGCCAGTCATTTCAGCCAATTCCATATAGTCCATCAACTGCGTCTGCCAGTCCTCCAGTGTGGGTAAATCTTGTGTCTTCCAGTGCTTTGCGATGAGAATTCTTGCTGCTGTGGTTGCATACATAAACAAAGTTCTGTCCTTCTTTGACACCTTCCGGTCCACCATGCCCAGAAGGAAGGCCTCCGGTTTCTTAGGAAAGGTATATCTAAATACCTTTTTCAGTTCATTATAAATCGTTTCCCAGAAGGCCTTCACTTTTGGGCAGGTCCACCAGAGGTGAAAGAATGTCCCTTCTGCCTCTTTGCATTTCCAACATTTATTATCAGACAGGTGATATATCTTAGCTAACTTGACTGGGGTCATGTACCACCGGTATACCATTTTCATAATGTTTTCTTTCAAGGCACTACATGCCGTGAACTTCATTCCGGTGTTCCATAACCTTTCCCAGTCCTCCGACATGATGTTATGCCCAACATCCTGTGCCCATTTTATCATGGCAGATTTAACTGTCTCATCCTGTGTGTTCCATTTAAGCAGCAAGTTATACATTCTCGAAAGTACCTTACTCTTTGGTTCTAACAGTTCCATCTCCAATTTCGATTTTTCCACCTGGAAACCAACTTTTTTATCCATTTTAAAAACCTCTTGAATTTGAGCATAATGTAGCCAGTCTCGCACCTTACTTTTTAATTTATCCTGGCTCTGCAACTTCCAATTATCTCCAATTCTTTCAATTATTTCCCAATATTTTGGCCAATAGGCCTCCATATTGGGTCTTTTTCGAGCCTTGGCCTCCACCGGTGATAGCCACCTCGGGGTCTTACCTTCTAGTAAGTCTTTGTATTTCATCCAGACGGCAAAAATTGCTTTTCTGACAATATGGTTTTTAAACAATTTATGAACTTTCACCTTGTCGTACCATAAATATGCATGCCAACCAAAGGCATTGTCGAACCCTTCCAGATCTAGGACATCAGTGTTCTCCAACAGAAACCAATCCTTCAACCAGCAGAAGGCTGCAGCTTCATAATACAACCTCAAGTCCGGCAGGGCAAACCCCCCTCTTTCTTTCGAATCAGTTAGTATTTTAAATTTTATTCGGGGCTTTTTGCCCTGCCAGACAAACCTAGATATATCCTTCTTCCATTTTCCAAAACATTCCACTCTGTCCACGATCTGTAGGGTTTGAAACAGAAATAACATTTTTGGCAATACATTTATCTTTATAGCTGCGATTCGGCCCGACAAGGTAAGTTTCAATCTTGACCAAATTTCCAAGTCCTTTTTAATTTCCGACCAACATTTTTCATAATTGTCTTTAAATAAATTCAAATTTTTAGAAGACAAATATACCCCTAGGTATTTCACTTTTTTAACCACACTTAATTCTGTTTCTTTCTGGTACCCATCTGTTTCTGTAAGTGTCAAATTTTTAGCCAAAACCTTAGTTTTCTGCTTGTTCAACTTGAATCCCGCCACCTGACCAAACTCAGAAATAAGCTCTAAAACTCTTTTTGTACTAGATTCTGGCTCCTGTAATGTTAAAACTAGGTCATCTGCAAAAGCTTTCAGTTTGTATTGTTTCACTCCGACCTCTATTCCTCGTACCAGCCGGTCCTCCCTAATCATGTTTAACAGCACCTCCAGGACTGAAATAAATAAAAGGGGAGATAGAGGGCACCCCTGTCGTGTCCCTTTTTCAATTTTAAATTCCTCCGTCACCACATTGTTCACTATCAGTTTGGCTTTTTGCTCTGAATAGATTGCTTCTATTCCATTTTCAACCCCCCCCCACTCCCATCCCTTCCAAATTTTTCTTCATAAACATCCAAGAAATGCTGTCAAATGCTTTCTCTGCATCAATAAAAATTAACACCGCCCTTGTGTTCCTCTTAGTCTGCAAGAGCTCCAAAATGTCAATAATATTCCTGGTGTTGTCAAACATATGTCTACCTGGGAGAAAGCCTGCTTGGTCTTTATGAATTACTTCATTAAGAACCTTTTTGAGTCTATTTGCCAAAATGTTCGCAAATATTTTGTAATCCACATTTAGGAGTGAGATGGGACGGTAGTTCTTAAGTTGAGTCTTTTCAGATTCCAGCTTAGGTATCAATGTGATGAAAGCTTCTTTCCACGTTTCTGGTGCCCTCTTCCCTTCCATAATCTGGTTGCATACCTCCATCAAAGGTTGTATCAAATAGTCCTTCAAAGTCTTATAATATTTGGAGGTAAGCCCATCCGGGCCTGGAGATTTGCCAAGTTGCATATTCTGAATAGCACCTTCAATTTCCTGTTGAGTTATTTTACAGTTCAAGATTGATCTTTTATCTTGAGTTATTTTTGGTAATCCATTTGTCTTTAAAAATTGGTCTATCTCAAACTCTTTCTGAGGCCCCTGTGCATAAAGTTCTTTAAAGTATCTGTGGAAGCACTTCCTAATTTCTTCTGGTTTCTGAACCATTCTTCCTTCAATCTCTAGATTTGTAACCGTATTTAACTTTTGTCTTTTTTTCAGCTGCCATGCTAGTAGCTTTCCACATTTATTTGCTGATTCAAACGATCTCTGCTTCATTTGTTTGATTTTCCATTCAATCTCTTGATTAATCAATTTCGAATATTGTGCTTGATGGAATTTGATTTCTCTCAGCACCTCCTTTGACTTTGGTTTAGTTCTCAATTTTTTCTCTCCTTCACTTATTTTCTCCAAGATTTTCTCCTTTTTTCCATTCCAGAGTTTTTTCTTAATTGTATTTTGTTGTATCAGAAACCCTCTCATAACTGCTTTACTGGCATCCCAGATCGTTCTTTTTTCTACCATAGTATTCAAATTTATTTCGAAGTAGTCCTTTAACGTTTTTTGGGCCTTCTTCACAATCTCTTGATCTCTTAGTAAGGTGTCATTCATTCTCCATCTGAAGGATCCGGTTGGAATAAGTCTCAGTTCCATTTTCAGAGCGTTATGGTCGGAGCAGGTTTTTGGGCAGATTTCCACCTTTCTGGTCTTAGGTGCCAGCCCTCTAGATGTCCATATTTGGTCGATTCGTGTCCATGACAGGTGGGCCTCAGAAAAGAAAGTTCCTTCTTTACCTAAGGGGTTCTTTGTCCTCCATATGTCAATCAAATCCATATTGTCAGTCATTTCGAAGAAAGTTTTGGGGAGTCTGCCGTCTGTTGTTAAGTTTTGGTTTTGAGATTTGTCCATATTTGTTGATACCACCCCATTCATGTCTCCCATCATAATGATGTTAGAATAGTCCATATAGTCCAGCATGGTCTCGTGCAGCTTCTTGAAAAATTCTGATTTCCCATCATTTGGTGCATAAATTCCTAATATCAAAATTTTCTCTCCTTGTGTTTGAATTTCAATTGCCAATATTCTTCCTTGATCGTCCTTGAATAAAAATTTTGGTGACAGGTTCTCCTTTGCATATATCACCACTCCTCTTTTCTTGACCTTGTCCGAAGAAATAAATTCTTGGCCTAGTCTTTTGTTAATTAACACTTTCCTGTGGAGCCTGGTCACATGTGTTTCTTGTAAGCAAATAATATCCAATTGTTCTTTCTTCAAGATATGAAATATCCTCCTTCTTTTTTCCGGGGAATTCCCGCCATTTATATTCCAACTAAGTAGCTGCAGAGACATCCTGTTCTGTTTTGTTGTTCCTAAAGTGGGGTGTCTTCCTTTTCCTCAGATCCCGAGGGTGTAGGCGTTGGTCCGCCTCCAGGCGGTGCTGGTCTAGATGACGGTAGTGGCCAAGATGCTGCTGCTCCTTTTTGGAGATCTTCCCCGTGGTCGTACACTCCCTCCCTGTTTATCTAGCAAAAGTTGCCACTTATTTTGTACATTTAGTATATATGACCTTCATTACTTTTATACATTACTTTGTATACAAATTTAAGTACAAACACTAAAACATCATTCCATGCATTTACATCTGATTTCCCCCTTTATGAGTTTCTTGGTGTAAGTAGTGAACCCTGAGTGGATAACTCCATACATTTATATCATTTCCCTAGTGTGAATTTGCTAATGAATATTAAGGTCTCCACTCCCTCTGAAGTCCTTTCCACATTCAATACGCCTGTAGTTTTCATTGTGTGTGAGTTAGCTGATGTCTTCTAAGGTGTCCACTTTGACTGAAGCTCTTAACACACTCCATACATTTAAATGGTTTATCTCCTGTGTGAGTTCGTTGATGTATTCTAAGTGTTTCACTACGACTGAAGCTATTTCCACATTCAATACATTTAAATGGTTTCTCCCCAGTGTGAGTTCGTTGATGTCTTCTAAGGATTTCATATTGACTGAAGCACTTTCCACATTCAATACATTTAAATGGTTTCTCCCCCGTGTGAATTTGTTCATGTACTTTAAGTGCTCCGTTACGACTGAAGCTCTTTCCACACTGCATACATTTAAATGGTTTCTCTCCTGTGTGAGTTTGTTGATGTATTCTAAGTGTTTCACTACGACTGAAGCTATTTCCACATTCAATACATTTAAATGGTTTCTCCCCAGTGTGAGTTCTTTGATGTATTCTAAGGATTTCATATCGACTGAAGGACTTTCTACATTCAATACATTTAAATAGTTTCTCCCCCGTGTGAATTTGTTCATGTACTTTAAGTGCTCCGTTATGACTGAAGCTCTTTCCACACTGCATACATTTAAATGGTTTCTCTCCCGTGTGAGTTCGTTGATGTATTCTAAGTGTTTCAATACGACTAAAGCTATTTCCACATTCAATACATTCAAATGGTTTTTCTCCTGTGTGAGTTCGTTGATGTATTCTAAGGATTTCATATCGACTGAAGCTCTTTCCACATTCAATACATTTAAATGGTTTCTCCCCCGTGTGAGTTCGTTGGTGTACTTTAAGTGCTCCGTTACGACTGAAGCTCTTTCCACACTGCATACATTTAAATGGTTTCTCCCCCGTGTGAATTTGTTCATGTAGTTTAAGTGCTCCGTTATGACTGAAGCTCTTTCCACACTGCATACATTTAAATGGTTTCTCTCCCGTGTGAGTTCGTTGGTGTATTCTAAGATCTCCACTTTGACTGAAGCTCTTTCCACATTCAATACATTTAAATGGTTTCTCCCCCGTGTGAGTTCGTTGGTGTACTTTAAGTGTTCCGTTACGACTGAAGCTCTTTCCACACTGCATACATTTAAATGGTTTCTCCCCCGTGTGAATTTGTTCATGTAGTTTAAGTGCTCCGTTATGACTGAAGCTCTTTCCACATTCAATACATTTAAATGGTTTCTCTCCTATATGACTTCGCTGATGACTTTTAAGTGTGCCACTTCGACTGAAGCTCTTTCCACAGTCCACACATTTAAATGGTTTCTCCCCCGTGTGAGTTAGTTGATGTATTCTAAATGCTCCACTTTCACTGAAGCTCTTTCCACATTCAATACATTTAAATGGTTTCTCCCCCGTGTGAGTTCGTTGATGTCTTCTAAGATTTTCACTTCTACTGAAGCACTTTCCACATTCAATACATTTAAAAGGTTTCTTCCCCGTGTGAGTTCGTTGGTGTTTTCTTAGTGCATCATTTCGACTGAAGCTCTTTCCACATTCAATACATTTAAATGGTTTCTCCCCTGTGTGAGTTTGTTGGTGTATTCTAAGTTTTCCACTTTGACTGAAGCTCTTTCCACATTCCGTGCATTCAAATAGTTTCTCTCCTTTGTGAGTTTGTTGTTGTATCCTCAATTTCTTTGTTTTCCCCCATAAATTCTCATGTGGCTTCATAGAATTCTGACTTTCATCTTCCTCACCTGTTTGGGAGTCTGGGAGGAAAGAGAATCCTGTTAGACTTTCAAGAAAGACAAAAAGGGAACTGAACACATGTCAATCCCAATCTGTACCTTCTCTCATTTTTAACACCTTCATTCTCCACTATCCTCTCTAGGTTCCAATTTTATGAAAGCTGATGAGATAGTGGCAAGAGCAACACATGATCACTCCATTCACAACCGGCAAGCAGGAAACCGGCAAGCAGGATTGGAGCACAAGAGTCTTCTCTGCCTTCCTGTGCTTTCCAGAAACTAGTATTAAGAAGCATTATTGCCTAGGACCACGAGGGCAGAGAAGAGACGTCAGTCTTATCCTTTTCTTCAAGCTATCCAAGTTGCTGGCCATCACTGTCTCCTGTAGGATAGATTCCATAAATGAACTACGCTTCTGTTTATTCATCTTTTGCAGCCCTTAAAGGCTGATAAATGTATTATTGCCTAAGCTTTTGTGGGCTGCAGTCTGACAAAGTGGACTCTTGACCAGGAAAGCTGGTGCCACTATAAACTTCTGAGTCTCTTTGTTGGCTTTGTGTACTTATTTTCAAATTTGCACCAAGGTTATACCACAGTATCTCCATGGAAGCTTAGGGACGGACAAAATTACAGGGTGTCAGCTCCGTGAATCTCAAGCCTCTCGTGCCTCCGCTGACAGAGCCTGAGAACGCAAGAGATGTGATTCAGTTGGAATGTGAAGCAGGGGAGGAGCAGCCAAGCTGCAGCAGGAGGAAAGAACAAAGAGCAGGAAGAGGGGGTGCCAGGGGGGGCACAGACTGTTATTTCCATTTTGAGCTCTGACACAGAGACCCTGGAAATAGCCTGTCCAAAAAATCGTAGGCTCAAGAGAATATGCGAGAAGAGGAGAAAAGAAAGTGAAAGTGGGGGCTTCTTTGCTGGAGGACTCGGCAACTGCAAGCTGGGATGAACAGGCTGAAGACTGAGCTCCACAGTGATTTGTGAGTTTGAGCAATAAACCTGAGATAATTACTACTGGAGTTGTCTCGCGTCTGTGCGGGAGAACCAAGGGGCGCTAAAATTATTATCCCACTCCCTCCCTCCCTCTCACAAACAACCCCAGTCTGTAAGATTGGCAAGTTTACACAATTTGCTTATAATACCAGACACTCTTGGACTTTATATGCCCAATCCTAAGTGTAGAGCCTCCAGCCACAGGAATCGTGTATCATGATAACTGGTCCTTTGTCCCTTAAGCCCACCAAACTGGGGAGGTGCATGCATCTATTGTGTTTTGATGCTGGTGGAATGTATCATTCTGACTCTGTCTATAAAAAATAAAGGTAATAGAAACCATTTAAATACATTAATTATAAATAATTATGGGAAGCATTTCCATTCCCCTTCACCCATTGTTCAGGATTGGTGTGCAACATCATTATCATCAATTATTCCTGCCATGGAAATAACACCTAAGGTTTCAAAGCCTGGAGGAAGAAAATCTGCCCCCACTACTTTAGGAAAAGGATTCAAGAAACAAAGAGCTGCTCTGAAGAAGGCCTCACCCCTTCCTTCTTCCTGTCAGGAACTTCCTTCCATTTGTCTCCTCTCCATCTTTTCCTCTTTCTCCCTCCACCTTCCACCTATCCCTGTCCCCATCTCCTCTCCTCTGGAACTCACCAGATTTCTCCAAGGGTCCTGGGAGGGAATGCTCAGAGGTTGTGGGGAGGGATGCGGGAGACAGCCTGACCAGGTCAACCGTCCATCTTCCTCCTTCCATCCTGGCCAGGCTTGCAGGTTCAGTCTCAGCTAGGTTTGCAGGTTCAGCTTCCTGAGGAGCGCAGAATCCAGAGCAAGTTGCAGCTTCCTGGGAGGGAGGGAATAAGAAGCCAAGGGAGTCTGAGAGCCCCTGCAGGGATTCTCCTGCCCAAGACATTCTGCTGCCCCTGGAGAAGCCCCAATTGGGCACCCCCTTCCCAAAAGCCCCCTCCCATTTTCAAACACCTTTGGCAATCCCTTTCACCTGCCTGTCCCACCTCCTTCCTAAGGCTGGCATGGTATGCACATTAGTGGCCTGAGAGGAGATCCCTTGGAATTTAAGAGTTAATCTGCAAAGGACTGCTCTGAATACATGGGTGGCCCTTGCATGGAGAAGGAGGAAGCCCCTTCCTTGCATCAGGACCCCCTGGGAGAGGCGGTGGATCCGCCCACTGCTCCCTCTGCCCTCGCTGCCGCCTCCTCTGTCCTCCTGCCCTGCAAACACCCTTTTCTCTTGTTCCTCAGGGGAGAGAGGCGGCTGGTGGAAAGAGCCTTCAAACCCATCCGTTTCCTCCTCTGCTCCCCCTCCTGTCCTTTTGGGAAACAGAAACTTTGGTCAGGAGTAAACAACTTAGATGGCAAGTTTGCAAGATAAGCACTTTAAAGCACTGCTTGTTCCTACTATGTGTGAGTCTCTGTGTGTTTGGACCTAGAGGACAGCATACATGATTCCGAAAAGAGGGCAATTCTTTAAAACCGAAGGCCATTTCTACAAAATGGAAGACTTCCAAAGGCAGCCTTTTACAAGGAAATTTTTGAAGGTTATTAGTTTGTTGGAAGCTACCCAGATGGGCAGAGGCAACCCAGGATGCAAATAATAATAATAATAATAATAATAATAATAATAATAATAGCTTCCTAAGCCTATCCTGAGATGTGGGTGGCGCTGTGGGTTAAACCACACAGCCTAGGACTTGCCAATAAGAAGGTTGGCGGTTCGAATCCCCGCGACCGGGTGAGGTGAGCTCCCGTTGCTTGTTCCTTGCTCCTGCCAACCTAGCAGTTCAAAAGCACGTCAAAGTGCAAGTAGATAAATAGTTACCGCTCCGGCGGGAAGGTAAACGGCGTTTCTGTGCGCTGCTATGGTTTGCCAGAAGTGGCTTAGTCATGCTGGCCACATGACCCGGAAGGTGTATGCTGGCTCCCTCGGCCAATAAAGCGAGATGAGTACCACAACCCCAGAGACGGTGACAACTAGACCTAATGGTCAGGGGTCCTTTACCTTTTTAAGCCTGTCCTGCTACGCATGCTGATCAGAGACTCTGTCCAAACAACCCCTTTGAACGCAACAGGGCTTCCTATTTTTACTGCTATCAGTGGGATCAGTCAAACCACGAAGCCACTGATCAGCCAGAGTTTCCTGTTTTCACCAAGCACAGTTTGAAGTTAGCTTAATATCCCAGCTTGTTCCAAAGCTGGCAGCCGTAGTTTCCTGGTTTGGGCAAAATGGAAAGTTTGCTAGTTATGGCTCATAAGAGACTGCCTGGTTTCATCACAGTTCACCCTCAGGGTAAGCTGGGACAATTAGGTCAGGAGGCAGATGCAGGGAGATATGGGACCAGCACGTTCCCAGCTCCCATGTAGAGTCCTTTTCTTTTCCCCTCTCTCACTAAAGGTTGGGTGGGAGTCCTTCCTGGAGTGATGCATTCTGGTTGTGGGGGCCAGGAGAATGCAGTGGCGGCTAGAGTTTTTTGTTTTAAACTTGGGTCAACTTAGGTTTTAGCGTAACTTTGCTGCAGCAATGCATTAAAAACTGTTCCTATTTTTAACCCAGCTTTTCAGGCTGTGATTCAGTCATCTGAACCTGGCCATTATCCTAATAAATCTTGCAGCAACCTTGCAAGGTAGGCCAGTCATATTTAATGCGACTACACATGGGATTGCTGAGGCTGCGAGACGTGCCAAGATTTTTACCTCAGTGGGGAGAAAAGAGCATTTTGGAAATGGAGGCAATTTAGAGGAGGAAAGCGGGGGTTGGTGGAAGGTCACCTCTTCTGACACAGCTTCTGCTCTGATAAAACTCAGAGTCACCTGCAGCTGTTTAGGTAAAGTAAGAATAGCAGGAGATATGATTGCAAACCTGCCATGTAAGGTTTGGTCTAGCAAACCTTTTTAAAGTGGATTAGAGAGAAAGTGCAGGGAGGAGGAATATTCACCACCAAAGCTAAGCAGAACCTCCATGTCTAGAGGCACTGGACCTGTGACCTCCAGGTGCTGGAAACCCAGGTGTGTTCATGTGACTTTATGGTCTGCATCTCTTTTCTGTGTGCGCATGCATGTGCATACATTGGCCTCAAAGCTCACTGGAATGTGGCCTCCAGAATTAATGCAGCTTTAAGCCCATAAATGTTTCGTTCCTCCTGTTCTATCGGAAAGAACAATCAAATCTAAGACTTTCATGAGGAGAGAACTCCTG